CACTGATGGAAAAAATATTTGCAAAACATATATCTGAAAAACAACTTCTATCTAACATACATAAAAATAATTCTTTCACTTCAATACCAAGAGGATAAAAATCCAATTTTTAAATGGATAGAAGATTTATAAAAATACTTCATTAAAGAATAAATACCAATGACAAAGAAGCGCATGAAAAGATGTTAAACATAATTAATTATTTGGAAGATGTAATTTATCACCACAAATGAGAATCCCACAACACAATCCTAGAATGGCTAAAATAAGACTAACAACAGCAAATGTTGGCAAGGGTGTGGAGAGACCAGCTTCTAAATTACTATTAAGAATGCAATATGCAACAGCCAATTTAAAGTTTGAAAATTAATCCCAATTTAAAATTTTCTTCTGCTCATCAAAAGACACTATTAAACAAAAGAAAAGGCAAACTATAGGCAAACCATAGGTCTATAAGGATATATAAACTATACCCTTAATTCATACAATACCTACAAAATAATTGATCCAGATTATATGAAGAATTTCTACAAATCAGTAATAAAAGGCAACCCAATAAAAATAGTCTAATGACCTAATTAGAGACTGAAAAGTGAATGGAAAGTAGCAAGAAAAAACTTTTTTTTCTTTTTGGTACTGGGAATCAAACTCAAGACCTTGCGCCTGCCACGTTATACTCACTGAGCTATATCCCCAGCCCAAAAAAGAACTTTCAAGCATGAGGAAATATTCAGTTCTGATTGTGTAAGTTTATGAAAACAGCAGTCTGTGTACACAAAAAATCTGCACTTTTCACCATGTAAATTTGACTGTGATTTTAGCAAACTAAAAATAATACGTTGATATGTGTAATATATATTACACACTGATTCATACTTTTCTTTAATCTGTATTTAAACCTGTAATACTTGAGTATTATACTGTTTCCATACAAGTACACAAAATTATTTTTAATTATAAAGCATTTTGCTATTAACTGAATGAATGAATATTTATTTCTCCCCAAGATTCACATGTTGAAACTAATTTCCAACATGATGGTATTTGGAGATGAGAATTTTAAAAGGAAATGAGATATGAGAATAGAACCCCCATTCCACCAATGCCCTCAAAAAAACAGTAAAGGACATGAGGTTGAGGAAAGGATATGTGCAGACATAAACAGGAAGAAAGCCTTCCCCAAGAACTTGATCATGCTAATACCCTGATGTTAGGCTTCCGGCCTCCACAACCATGATCTCTAAGCGACCCAGTCTACTATGATTTGCCATAGCAGCCAGAACTCAGATGATTATCAATCATGGTACAATAAAATAATCCTTATTATATGTCCTAAAGTCACCTCTTATGGCATTCAAAAGAAAAACTCAGTATTTTACCCATATCTTTTGCGATTAGACCCTTAAATCCCCATATGAGTCTCTTGTCTTCCTGACTCTAAGTTCTCTCAAGTCAACGAATGTGAGGGTCTCTTTTCCATACTATTTACTAACTTTTTCATGTTTATACATTATATTCTATTAACAAATGGACCTCTGCACAGTTTCAATATCGTTTCCCTTCCCAATAAAGATAAACCATGTAGTTACTAAGCTGTGTGGCTATAAGCACACACTAGGTTAAGGTTTTTAGAAGTTTTCTACATCTTTCATTTACTCATATCTGCCAAATTTTGCATCACTACTGCTTACCTCTCTAAATCTAGCTTCTCTGCCCCTCGCAGGGCCACAGTGCTCCTAATTCTCTGTCATCTGCTATCCCCTAAGTGCATATTGTCACCAATTCCTGCCCCAGCAAAAGAGCTACTATCAGATAGTTGCTGGTGTTCTCACCTGTACTCATCTGACTGTCCCCAATATCTTTATTGACAGAATTCGTAGATGCCAGACCACCTAACGTACTTCTAAGAACCACTGTCCATTGGTCTCTGAACTGACTTCTAGGCTCATGCACATAACACACTTGGGAGGGCATCAACCTGAGATATCTTACTGTTCATCCAGTGCCACAAGAGGGCCTTTGCACTGTATTTTCCTTACCCTTTGGGGCCAAGTTCTCCAAATTGTTATTGCATCGATAACTGACAGGAATCTTGGAAGAATAAAAACTGGCTTCCGTTTTTTTTTTAAAGCCTTACCTAATATATGTTTAATGAAACCCATAGAATTTTAATCCAATGTGATGAATAAAAATATATCAAAGTCTATGTTAAAATGAAAGACAATAATGAGGAGACAGTCAGACAAATTTCAGGGTCATAGAGATGAGCAAGGGAAGAGATAATTGAGCAGGAAGAGACAAAGTAATGAAAGAGACAAAGATAAAGAAAAAAATAGGAACCAAAAATGAAGAGCTCAAAAGAAATAGGGAATGAATAAGAATTGGGGAAAGAGGAGATCAGCCAGAAGCAGAGAGAGAAGAGATACAAAGAGCAAGGACAGAGAAGTAATTCACTCTTCCTTATTTCTCTCTCCAATTTTATTTTAAAGAGAAAAAAACCCATAAAAATGATACAGAATTTCAAAACAAGACAGGAAATTAACAATGGTTACTATATTGCAAGTTGTTATCTTCAAAGTAGTTGCTCAGATTGTAAGATATAGGCGTGAAAAATTGATCAAACAATATAAGCACTAACTGTTCCTTTCAATGAACTAATAGAAATCAGTAGCTCCATTATCTTAGCTGTCTTGTATATATATACATCTCTTTTTTCCCTTCCTTCTTTTCTCTTTTCCCCCATCCCAGTTGTTCTTTCCTTTTGAGCAGTTTCTTTCCTTTTCACATTACCTATTGTACCCTCTGAATCTTACTTACTCTTTCAGTTTCTTACACTAGGGAGACAATATAATGTTTACATACGCCAGTCTGGTGTATGTCACTTCTGAGTATGGTCTCCAGCTGCATGCATTTACCTATAAAGCCTTGAGTTTATCTTTCTTTATAGCTGAGTAGTACTCCATTGTATAAAAATACCACATCATTTTTATCCATTCTTCAGTTGATGGACATTTGGGCTGTTTCCAAGATTTAGCTATGACAAATTGTGCTGCTAGGATTAGAGGCCCCATTCAACTCAGCTATTCCCCTTCTGGGTATTTTCCCAGAAGAAATGAAAATATCATACCCAATTCTCTCTATCCTTGCTGAGGGAAAAAACAAATAAAATAAAAAATGTATCACTCAACCTCCAAATTTAAATCATACTGCTACAGTGAAAATGAGTGACTAGGGATTTCTATTTCAAAAAAATGCGTAGAGAAATGATTTGTTTTTATAAAAGCAAAGTCTCTCTATCATCCTCCCATCTGTATCCATTCTTTCTCAATCTGGGCTGAGGATTCTCCATGTTGCATAGAAGAAATTGAACTTATAAAAAGGATTCTGAACCACCTCCATGCCCTGCTTTACTCCCTCAAGCCTCAAAGGACATCCTCTGAACAGCATGAGGAGTTTTCCTTCTTGTCCCTGTTCAGAATGCTTTCTGACAAAAAGCCCCAACCATCAAGTCCCAATCCCAATTTATGCAGAGACAGACTCTTTGCCATCTCTGCTTCAGGGATGCCGCTCTTCTGCTGGTACACAAAAGTCAGCAAGTGCTTGTAAGTATGCTTGTTCTAGATACATACATACATTACACGTTTATTATTTTTATAAACTTAGTAAAGAAATCCATTTCAAGTACTAAAAAAAATATTCAAAAACTTTCCATCCTAATCTACTCTCCTTTCAATCTCATTAATGTCATCTTCATCCAAACTATTCACTATAAAAATTCTCATATCTAGTCAATGAGGCCTGTTTTTCTTATTTTCTAAATTTCTTCTGCTTCATCTCCCATGCCATGTACTCATAGCCCCCCCAAAACAAAAACTCTTCTGAATGGATTTCTGCAAATTTTTCCATCCCCCAGCATGGTTGCCAGTAACCTCCTAATCGAGTCACATACTTCACGACACACCTTCAGTGGAAAGAATTAACATCAAACCCCCTGTGAGCCCTAGTCAGTGACTGTCAACTTGACTTAAAAACACCTGGCAGATTAGTGAAGTGTTCCCAGAGATGACCAACATGTGGGCCAGCAAACTGAGGGCAGAAGACCCAACCTCACAGTGGGTACCACCATCCAACACGTTTGCAGCCCAGAGAGAAAGAAATGGGAAGAAGGAGGAAGTCTGCCTGTATTTGGCCAAGCCCACTCCACTTGAGCAGGTGCATGTTTTGCTACTGCCACTGCCTGTGAACATCAAACTCCGGGTTCTTCCCCCTTGCAGTAAGACTCCTACAAGCAACCCTCCAGAGTCTCCAGGCCTTCAATCTCAGACAGGCACTGTACCTTTGACCCTTCTTGTTGTGAGGGACTGAGCATTCTGGATCCTTTGGTTCTCCAGAATGTAGATGGCAATCACAGCCTATCCTACCTTAATCCTGAGAGTCTATCTAATAAACCCTCCTAATAATTTTTTGTTTGCCTATTGATTCTGCTCCTCCAGATAACCCCACGCAATCCACTCCTTATTTTGGTATTGGAACTTTCCCAGTTATACTTCAACCCACCTTCCCATAATCATTTCGTACGCCTCTCTCTCCCCGTTTCTACCTACATCTAATTCCTTATCATTCCCTAAACAAGTCTGCTCCTTCCCTTCATCAGGCCTCTATCCAGGGACCTTTACATTTGCTTTATCTCCTTCACATCCAGAGTTTTGAAAATTCTTCTCAAATTCTACTTCATTCCTCAATCTGATCACTGACCCTGGGAAAGAGCAAGCCATTCCTGTCTCTGGATTTCCAATGCACTTGAAACACTTACTTAGTATGGCTTATATTATAATGTACAGAGTTTAAGTATCTTTTCCATTCCAATGTGAGTTGAACAAGTAGACTTGTCTCAAAGTATCCTGCGTTAAGAACAGAACATGTGCACAGTAGGTGCTCCATATTAAAAATGAGAAGAATAAATTAATATGGCCCAATATGGGATGAATAAATAAACATACCTTTCTGTGCTTTAATGAGCTGCTTTCCAATTTCCAGTGTCACATAAGCTGTGCCATTTAGAACTATATCAGATATCGTCTTCCAAGCATTAGGAGAGAGTCTTTCAGTGGGAGAAATAAAATTCCCTGCTGCGTTGTTTATCACGACCTAATAAATGAATAAGGCAAGTCACAGACACTTATGGGTGAGAAAGAACACTTTTCCTCGAGGGTTTTTATTTCCAAAATTTATCAATCCACATAATATAATACAGCTAAAGTTCATAGCTACAAAATAATACCATGAGATTTGTGTTGCTTTTATGTGTTTGGAGCCTGTAAACAATACATTATTTCCCAATTTCAGAATCCTAAACTTATCTTTAAATTAGAGTACACTCCATTATTAAGAAAACAAATACAGCTTAAGCATATTTATCACATGACTATACTTTATTTCAAGGAATCTCAAGAAATGCCTTTTAATTTCTAGTGTCATTTAACTTAATAAAATTCTCGGTCAGTGACCTACCTTTTCATTATCAATAGATCTTCTGCTGAATAGATATTCTATACCAGATTCAATATTTCTGGTCTGTCTGAAAGTATCTTGAACAAAGAAAAGGCAGACTACTGGGAACAAATTGCTTCTCTCTAATAAATGAATCAAATAACAGCAAAATACCCATTTGTATCTCAGGTCTTACATGGAGAAATTTGGAAATTCTTATAGTTTTCTTGGTTTCTATTACTTTCTTCTACTGAGACTGACAATCAAAAGTTATTAGGAAAAGCAAACACTATGAATCATTTAAACTAGATACTGTACTCTTTGATAATTGTTCTCATTATCTCACAATCTTATTTAAATAAAGTGAAATCTGGTTTGTTCTATGATTATAAATGCAGCATTAAAGTATTCCTGGAACGAAGTAGTGTAGCAGTCCTTCTAATTTTTTTTTGCTGCTTTAAGCCAAGCTGACATTTTCCTAGAGAAACAAAATAAGTCCCTCTCAACACAGCTGTTGCGCACTTCAATCGTTTATTCCCTTTGTACATCCTGATGGGTGTCATCAACATCAAACGCCTTGTGCTTTGGTTTCATCACCATTGCACTTACATCAGGATGGCCTGCGACTTTGATCAGTTCCAGCACGGTGTTGTGAACCATGTCAGGATTCCTCACATCACACTGAATTGCATGAACCTGCAAAAGAACAGAGAAAAGAACCCTACGTTTTCTAGACTTCTTAAAACAACAGCAGGAGCAAATTACTGATACATATTACAATTCCTACACCTCATTTAAGTGGCTGCTGTTTAATGTACCTTATTTCCAGTTTGAGAAGAAATTTGTTCTGCAGTAGCTTTCAGAACATCAGCATTCCTAGAAGTAAACACATGGCAGGTATTTTGCATGAATTCTGAAATGCTTTCATATTATATTTTTCTTTCTAATTCCATAAATTAAAAACCACAGAGAATCTACACCTGAAAGAAAAAGTATCGAGGCCATATCTAAACACAAATCAATTGGAATGAAATCATTTTCTAAAAGTTAAATTCCAATGATTTTTTCCTATCACTAACTCACTGATTCAGTTACTTTAACACCAACCACTTTGGCATTATTTATTCATAGATTTAAATTGTTTTAATTATAATCACTGTATCTGTGCTTCTGCCCAAACCAGCTTCACAAAGAAAATGTATTCATGCTGTTAGTAGTCATAGTATAAATGTTTTTTTTTTTTTTTTTTTGGTTTTTTCTCCGGTACCGGGAACCGAACCCACGACCTTGCGCTTGCCAGGCAGGCGCTTTTGCCGCTGAGCTAAATCCCCAGCCCAGTCATAGTATAAATGTATAGGTTCAGATAACCTGCATGCATTCAGTTTTACATCCTTAAAAGAAATGCATACCACACACACACACGCGCATACACACACACACACACACACACACACAGAAGCACACACAAATACCTGAAGATAAATTATGTAGTATTAAAATAAAATATCTTAAAACTATTAAATACATTATAACAAAACCAAAAAGTGCTAGTCAATTTGGTTTTGTAAGTGACATAATGACCATCATTGAGATGACCACTACAATTATACACCATTCAAAATTGGAAGAAAGGGTAGATTTTCGGACCAGTCTTTACAGTCCCAGACTTACATACATATAGAGTGCCAGAATATACCTCAAAAAGAAGATATTCCTTTCACATGGCTTTATCCTTCCTATATTCATCACAAGTGTTCTGAAATATTAATCTTAAGGACAACTGAAGGACCCATTATCCTGCTACAAGGTCAGTTATGAATCGAAGTCATCAGTTCCACTGCAAGCAATATAGTCTCAAAGTGGTACTTTTTAACCCTATCTTTTTAACTTTTTCACTTCATCTTTTTATACAGAAAAGAAGCCATTAGCTAAATGTGCTGGTGCCTGCCTGTAATCCCACCACTCCAGGAGGCTGATGAAGGAGGAACTCAAATTCAAGCCCCATCTAGGTAACGCAACAAATTTAGTGAGACCTGTCTCAAAATAAATAAATAAAAATATAAAAAGGTCAGAGGATGTCACACACTGTGAAGTTTCTGGGTTCAACCCCAATACCACCAAAAAAAAACTGTCACTGGATTTAGAAAGTACATATGTTGTCAGTTTTATAATTATCATTATTTTTATCATCTCAAATTATAACTGCCTTTTTCCAAGGACAGTTATTTAAATAATCTCTAGAACATTTGCCGTAAGATTAAAATGCAAATCAAACAACATTGGCAAACAGTGCTTTCAATATTGTGGCACAGATGGTTTCTTCTCTCACGTGACTCTTGAGTCCAACTTACCGGCTGGCTATCACACATTCAGCACCCAAGCTGGACAGATAAGTTGTCATCGCTTTGCCGAGGCCGGTACCCCCTCCAGTAATAAATGCCACTTTTCCTTTAAAAGTATCAGGTGGTAGCATAGCTTTCTGAAGGGGACGAAAGAATTTAGACTGTGGAGCTTCAATGTTTTGATACAATGTTTTTGTTCCATGACTGAAAAACTAAAAGAGAATAGAGAAAAAAGAATTGAAATGTACATACATGGATTTCTATAGAAGACTGTAACTCTTTAAACTTATTCTTAAATTTAATATTAATCCAATTTCTGGATCAATACAATGAGTTTTTGTATTTGTCAATATAATTATTGTACTTAATTATTATTCTTTTCTGTATATTAAGTAACATAATAAAATGGTCTCAAAGCTAAGCAACACACAGCAAAATTTTCTAGTCATATAACTAGTACCAGTAAGCTATTTAGCCATCATCTGTAAAATAGGGACAAGAAACAAACCTCTTCATAGACCACATGAGGTTACATGAGTTAATACAAGTAAAATGATTACAGCTGTATGGAATGCAGTGTAAGGACTCATGCTAGCAGCATGATTTGCATGTATTCTGCCTGAATCTTTTAAAAATTAATATAAAGCATGTTTGTCTTGTAAAAGAATAATTTGGGGAAAACCACATTCCATCTCTAAATTAGGTAAAAATTCTTTGTAAGGTTTATTAAATCAAATTGCACTTTCATTGTTTTTTCTGGTCAATAAATTTAAAACAGATAAGCTATGCCTATTATACTTAAAGTGGGGGGCCTCAATCCATTTAAACTAAAAATTTTGTGTTACCCTATTTTATATTTTCACATATAATCACATTACTTGTAAAAAAAAAAAAAATGATATTCTCTCACATTTAGTCATAAAAACAAACTCCAAGTGTTGAACATAGCAACAGGAGCTAATACTCATTAAGTGGTTACCATGTGCCAGGATTAGATATTAAACTGGTCACCACAACAACCACATAAAATAGGTACTATTTTTAGCTCCTTGTAGAAGACAGGCTCAGGGAGGTTAAAAACACTGACAAAGTTGCAGAAGCAAGATCAAATATGGGCTGACAGACTCTCAGACCTCCAGTGATAACCACCTTGTGTGCCTATCTATTCTCTGAGCTCCTACTATGCCTAATAATCACACCAGCGAGATATATGTTATTCTCCAATCAGGTGATATCGACAGATCAAAACTCCAGAATCTGTCATTTCCTTCTAGAGTATTTCTATAAGATAAATACGCTACCATCACATAGTCCAAGATATCTAGACATTTACCCCAAGGAAATAATTAGAAATGTGGTGAGTAACTTGAAATAAAGCACTCCATCAACTAGAAACTACACAAAAAAATGTCCATGGTGTGATGTTAAGCAAAAAAGAAACAACAACAATAAGTACTAGACTGAATAGTTACCATACGCCAACGTCTCCGATAGACTTCCCTCGACACAGCCTTATAAGGTAAATTAGTAAAGCCCTGACTCAAATCCAAGATCCAGGTGACTTCAGAGTCTACCTTTTGCTTTACAGTTATTATCTCTAAATGATGTGATTAAGGGTAATGTTTTTTCCTGTTTGGTAGGTTTTAAGTATTTTCAAAGTCTATCCATTAAGTATGATTCGATTTTATAATCAGGAAAAAAAATGGAAAGATGTAATTTGAGAGTACATGTTGAAGAAAAATTTGCAAATCCAGTTATGTTTCATGCCAGTCATCATATTTCTTTTAGCTTCATGTTAACACAGCAGTTTTATTATTATTATTTTTTGGTATCCTTTTGCCAAAGCATGATAATCCAAGCAACCTACAATCATCTTTTTTCTGCATAAATGGCAGTTGTACTCAAGACTGCCACCCACCTCCAGAACCATTATATTAAGATGATGAATCAGGAAGTTTGCACAAGTAGGCTGGTAAATTTGTCACTATCTAATAATAATGAGAAAAGGTATTCTAATTTTCCAAAGGGTCCACCATGAATTTTTAGTGTGTTAATTTGTGAGGGGAATTTGATGTAATGCTCCCTGAAAGACAACTTAAAAAGATATTCACATATAAACTTAAAATTTATTTAAAAGCATTTTTTCAATACTCACTAGTAAAGAAAAGCACGTAAAGGTAAAAAATTCATATTTAATAACAATTCATAATGTTATAATGCATAACAATCTTGCCTATTAAATCTGATCAACATTGATCTTTTGATTTCACATCCCTACTGATGCACAAAGTAGAAAAATTGGTATGTTATTTCAACTGATTATTTCTAATCAGTTAAAAATAATTATTAATTAATTATTACTTTCTAATAATTCACAGCATATCCATGAATAAAACTTCATCTCTTTGCCTTAATGTAAGTTGTTCAATTTAAATGATCAGACCTCACAGGATCATAATGTATTCATTCTTATATTTCTACAAAAAGCATCCTAAATAACCTAAATTGCATTTGGCCATTTTCTTTTGAATTTTAAAGAGTGGATACAAAATAAGCTTTAAAAGATTTTCAAATTTTGCTTTGCAATTCTTCTAGAAATAAGCTGTTTTTGCAAATGGAAATAACAGTTTTCAAATTAAGACTAATTTCTCTGGAGACCTTTGGGGCCCTATAATTCTTAAGACTCTAAAATCTTTCAATTTTTGCAAAATATTTTTGTGTTAGAAGTTTTAAATCTGCCTTTAGGCATATTTATAATTGAATATCATATCTAAATAAAGGAAGGTAACATTTTTTCTACCAGACTGGTTAAGGTACAAATTTTTATAACATGGGAAAACAGCTTATTGATTTCACTCTAATCTATTGATATGAATTGTGGCAAGTTCTTTGGAGACAAACTTGGCAAAGTTTATCAAAAGGTTAAATACAAAGACCCTTTTGATGCACGTTCAGGAACTTATCTAACAGACACACCGACTCATGTGGGAAGGGTGGGAAAGCAGATGCTGTGTTCAAAGGTATAATTAAGGGCTGTCACCCAGTGGTCAGCACTTTCCTACTTCACACAGGGTCCTAGGTTTAATCCTCAGCACCACATGGAAAGGATTTGCATTAAGATGAAAATGAGATTGTGAAAGTAATTTATGAGTATGTTAAAAGAAGAAAATACAAATAAACTTAAATTTAACAAAGAAGTGAAATGCCAGGCATACCTATAATACCTATAATCCCAACTCTCTGGAAAGCTGAGGCATGAGGACTGCAAACTCAAGCCCAGCCTGGGCATTTAGTGACTTAGGAAAACCTGGTCTCAAAATGGAAAGGGTTGGGGATACAACTCAGTGCAAAGGCTCTGGGTTCAACCCCTGGTACCACAAAAAGAAAAAAAGAAAGAGGGAGAGAAGGAGGGAAAGAGGGAAGGAGGGAGGAAGGAATGAAGGAAAGGAAGAAAGAGAGGCGAGATGTGTTAATCTGAAAACTATAAGACATCATTAGTATCATTACATAAAGATCTAAATGACTTCCTGTGTTCATGGGTTAGAAAAGTTATTTTGTGTAGAACATGATACTCTCCTACACCAAATCGACAGACTCAGTTATATCCCCATCCCAATTCAAGTTGGCTTATGCAAAAGTTGACAAGATTATACTAAAATTAATAAGCAATGAAATGCAACAGATTCAAAATAGTCAAAGAGGGGAGGAGGATTTAGCTCAGCGGCACAGCGCCTGCCCGGCAAGCGCAAGGTCGTGAGTTCAATCCCTGGTACCGGAAAAAACAAACAAACAAACAAACAAAAGTCAAAGATATCAATGAATCTATTATCTACAAAAAAGTAGTTAGAACTTACATGCTAAATGTAAATATTGCAAATGTTTGTTGAATATCAACAATGTGAGGCATTACTTATTAAGTATAAAACTCAAGATAGACAAATATATAAAATATCCTCCTATTTGTGTGGCTTTTCTAAAAACGAGGGTATCTTCATATTTATTAATATATACATAAAAATTGCCAGAATGATTTTTCATTGTACTAACACCTTGGAAGAAAGATTTCCTATATTAACATTGTGTGTTCTTCATAAAACTTAAATGTTCAATATTTAGTTAATAGCTCATCAAAAGTTAACACAAGGGCTGGGGATTTAGCTCAGCGGCAAAAGCGCCTGCCTGGCAAGTGCAAGGTCCTGAGTTCGGTTTCCGGTACCGGAGAAAAACCAAAAAAAAAACAAACAAACAAACAAAGTTAACACAAAATTAAATCATATATGCAAGTATAGAAAGGGTACAGAGGAAAACAAAGTTATAACAAGAAGATGGCATAGAATCAGTTTCCTAAGGACACATACCTTACCTGACATATAAATCTTCTCTATTCAATATGTGAATGTGAGCTATATTTATAGACAATAAAATACTTCCATAGCTGTCTGGGGAAGGGACTTCTAAGTACCTGCTGGTGTAGGCTACATGGACATTTTTAGGTCAAACCTTCTTCTGACTCAAATTCACATGTAAAGAGTTTTGCACAGTGTCAGTTAAAAATGTCAGGTTGGAAAACACTGGGCAGCCATGTTTTTTAAAGCAGGAGGCTCTAGAAAGCACATCTTTTGCACTCCTGTGCATAGTAAGCCTTCCAAAGCTACATCCCAGTTTACTTGGTATGGCTGCTAGAAGACAACTGTCTGGCAATTGTGCTGACTCTTTCCAATGTCCCGACCAATGCCACTTCAGCATAGTGTATGCGGCTCATAGTCCAAGCATACAGACATACAAGAGGCAGCACAGTGGGACACTCTACTGGATGTTCCGGTGCAGAAAAGGATAATCCTGCAGAATCAAGAATCTTCCATTCCCAAATAATAACAGTGCACTCACAAACTTTAAAGCACGGAAGTGCCCCAATTCTGCCACACCCATGTGAAGCTCTTGCTCCGTCTGTGTGCACTCCTTAAATATGTCCATTCATTCCTTCACTTAAATCAGGGCACTGCAGAGGCCATAGATACCACAGCTTCTGCAAAGCACATCTTGTTGCCACAGCAACTTGAAGGTAAGGTTGAGCAAATATACAAGAAACTGCCTCACTGAACTCCGAGCTCCAATGGCTAGGCTGAAGCATACAGCTGCCAGTAGCAAGGCAGGAATTACATTTTGAGTAATGAGCAATACATCTTACAGCAATGAACATGAGTCCTTGAAA